CTACGCAATATTTCATAATATCAATGTATAATATCAATGATATCATCTGCAATTTTTTTGCATAGCTTGTCAGTAAACTACGGCTCTGTATAGTAAATGCTGCTCCATCTGAAAGCACGTGCTGGAGATTTACTACTGATTACAGAACCGGCTTTACTGACAAGATGCGCATGACTACCGCATGCGATTTATCATGCAGTCCTACCTTTTGCCTAATCACAATTGCGATTTAATTTCAATTAACCATGCAGCCCTAGTATTTATACCACCATAATCAGGCCTGCAGGGGAATATGGCAAGTTTTTAATTGCTCTGAGCACCCATTCCTCCTTTCAAGGAATAGTTCACCCAAAAATGAAAATTTACTCAACTTTAGGCCATCCGAGATGCAGATGAGTTTGTTTCTTCTTCTGAACAGATTTGGAGAACTTAAACATTATATCATTAGCTCACCACTGGATACTCTGCAGTGAATGGGTGAAAATGTGTCAGTGGATTGTGATGTGAAAGGACAAAAGGGAGTGGGACTTTTTCCACTGGAGGAAGCGTTATTATGGATTATAGACTTGTATTTTGACCAGAAGGTTACAGTGAAAATGCCTTTATTGGTTTGTTTCTTACAAACGAGCAGTTTTTCACTTTACAAGACATTAATCAATGGACTAGAATTATTACTTTTAGATTATTTTGATGTTTTTATCAGCTGTTTGAACGCTCATTCTGATGGCAATCATTCACCGCAGAGGATCAATTGGTGAGCAAATAAATCTGTTCTGATGAAGAAACACCCTCAGGTCATCCAAGATGTAGATGAGTTTGAGTAAATTTTCAGCAAATCCTTCATAAATCCAAACAATAAATAAAAACTACAAAAATGTAAGTATAGTATATTGGCGCTTTTCCACTGCATGGTACGGCTTGGTACAGTTCACTTTTGGGGGGTTTTCCACTGGGTACAGTACCTGGTACTTTTTTTAGTACCACTTTGGTTGAGGTTCCAAGTGAACCGTACCGTTACCAAAACGTGACGTGTAAACTCTGCTGATCACGGATTGGCCGGAGAGAATCGTCACTACCTGCGTCACTGAACTTGCGACACAAACACAACAGAACCGCTAGATTTAAATCAGCACAGCCAGCGAAGGATCGAACGCAACTGTTTTGAACGAGCACACCTTTTTTTAACCACCAAAAAGTGGCTGTTTCGTTGTCTGTTGAGGAAGTACAGACGTTCCTCTCGTTGATAGCAGAGGAGTGGATCCAGCGAGAGCTTGATGGGGCGACGCGGAATGAAAACGTTTTTCAGGAGTCGCAGCAGTAGAGGCGAAGCAACTATAACGACATGTGAATAATCCCGCCCACTCTAAAGCGATACTAAACTGCAGTGGAAACGCAAACCGAGCCGAGCCGTGCCATACTGTACCACGCAGTGGAAAAGCGCCATATGTTTCACCAGTGTTGGGAGGGCGTTTGGAGTGCACATATTCCATCTGGACTGACCTATAACAAATATATCAGATTTATTTCTACTTTATGGTTAACTCTTACCATGTTAGAACAGGCACTGGCAAAGGTCATGAATTTGGGGTTAAACTGTAGACAGGTGACTGGACCAGTGTGCTTGCCATCAAGAAGTGCTACTTTCATTCCACTCTCAGCATTCCACACATGGATCTTTCCATCTTCTGATCCTGGAAAGCAAAATGTTGAGACGACAGGCATCACTCTCTGTGAACTTATCCCTAGTCCTTTCTGAATCTATTGGTGAAGACTTACCGATCATGACGAACTGAGAGTCTGGCGTGAAAGAGGCCTCCAGAATGACACCTTTACTGTTGTTATAGCCCTGCAGTGACGACGAAAGACTCCATGAGACACACACTTAATCTTAAACACAAACATTGGCAAAAGCCTATTCAAAATGACACTAATTTCTCACCCCAAATGAGTGGAGCACTGCTCCTTTGAAAGCATCCAGCACTCTGAGTGTTCCACCATTGGTGGAGACCAGAATGAGCTTTCCGTCGTTGCTGAACTTGAGACCCGTCCACTCACATGTTCGCTCATATTGTAGTTTAAACGTGGCGAATGGACCCTGAGGCAGGAGGTGTGACACAAACGTATACATTTTTATCATTTAAAAGACAGATATCACTACTGCTTCTAGGATGCAGTTTAATACAATTACCTTATCAAAGGAGCGTAGATCGTAAAGTTTGACCATCTCAGAATTCACTCCTGCAGCAAAAATCAACCCCTCCGGATCAAATGAACACACAGGCTTCCCTTGGAGGTGCATGAGGCCCTGTGAACACAACCAAGATTAAAATCTAGTATAGACCAACAAGAAAAACACACACTAACCCAAAGTAAAAAAAACTGCTTACCTGACAGTTAGGTGAGCGAAGGTCCCACAGACGAATAGTTTTATCAAGTGAGCCAGAAATGAATGTGTCATCAACAGGAGACATAGACAGAGCAACAACCCTGAAACAGGATAAAATACACAAACACAAGTGCTATAACTCAAACGCCAATAAACAAGAAAAGAAAATGTAATGTCACAAACCCTCACCTCTTATTGTGTCCAGGAAAGTATCGAATGTACTTATTGTCATGTAGGGACAGGTATCGAATAGTATCTGTAGTACCACATTGGTAGTGAGAAGAAAATATCAATATCATCTCAAAGGAAAGCTACAAGATTTTACATGTGAACTGATAAAATGTACTGTATACTGTGTCAGAGGAACAGGCTCAACCCTGGGCAAGGCAGTAGTCTGTACAGTTAGCTCCTTAACAGGGCAGAATAACAGACCCTAAAAACTGTACAAATAACTACCTCAACCCAGAGCAGGCACAAGTAGACACGAACATCAGCAGCAAAGCTTTGAGAAAATCACTTAATCAGCATAAACATAAAAATAAACAAAACAAATGATTATAAGTAATAAACACCTAAATACATAAATAAGAATAACAACTATGAATTTAATCTCATTTAATATGAAGTCATAAAATTGCATAATTAAAAAAATATAGAAAATGTTATTTAAAAAAATGTATACTTTTAGGTCAAATAAGGCATATCACACTGCAGGAAAATACTGTCATTTACTGTTTTTACTGACAAGAAAAAAACATAACGTAACAAAAAAGGTTCAATTAACATTTTATCCATAGTATGGCAAAACTGAAAGGCATAGGAGCTGCAATGCAACACAATATCATAAGGCTTTATAAAGAGTCCTACCATCAATCTTGTTGGAGCTGTAGACGACAGTGTTGGCTGCATGGGTGTATCTGATGAGATCCACACCGTACTTCTTACTGTAAAGCGTCCGTTTAGGTCTGATATAAAGGACAGAATCGGAAATAAATAAGTTAATCTGATCGCTTATTTATATACGCGCAATTCTGTGTATTATGAAACCCTTAACATTAAAAATAAAATACTAGACTTTACAGTAAAATCACAAGGCGGTGTCGGAAGGAGGCGTGGATGCTAACTGTTAGCACGCGACCTCTCATTCAGACAGTCCATTCGACTCATTTCCGCGAATCGGTTCCTTCGAAATATTTGTTTCAAAGATCCGGTTAAAGATTCGGCGGATCTTTTACGTCATTTCGTGGTCCTTGACATCCTAGCGAGGCATATTACTATAATGCCATACCGGTTATTAAACGGTGATTATTAAAAACTCATGTGTTACAGTTTATTGAGTTGCCGCCATGATTGAACGCATAAAACATAAAGACACTGGGTTCAGTGAGTCAGTGAACCGGCTCAACTGATTCACTAAAAAGATTCAACTTAAACGAATCGGAAATCGCTACTGTACATAAACATGTTCAAACTACAATACTCTCTATGAACAGTAAAACTCATAAATCACATTTCTTATTACTGGGGTAATCTTAACCTTTCACATCTCTCACAGTAATGCTCCTGTAACCAAAATCAATGTTTTAAAGCCCGTTAAGACCAAATCGACACGGAACAACACCAGCCAGTTGTAGGAAAAATCACAATTAGGAATTTATATGCGACTTACTTTCCCTCCTGGCAGTCGTACAAGACAATCGAATCGTCATCGCTACTCGATATTACAGTTTCGCCATTTGAACTGAAGTCAAAGCAGTTGATTTTGTCCGAATTCTCTCGGAACACCTTCGCAACCCTAAAACTCCGCAGCACATTGTCTGTGAGCTTCATTGTGGCCTTTATGCCTGGCCAGGCGCTTGAGGATCGTTTAGTCAAAAACAGCGAGTAGATTGGAATCTGATTTATCAGTGCTGTGTGTAGCGAATGTTTTATAATATTTTTTTTAAGTGAAAATCGTTTCAGATGTACATTTCGGTCACGTTAAAAAAGCCCGCCGACAAAATTCGTCAATGAACCGGATTACGAAAGACGAGATGAAGCTAGAGGCAGTAAAGCGGAAACAAAATGGCCACCCCACCTACGGACGTTTCAGAATAAAAGTCCCATGTCAACTTGAGCTGAAAGTCAAAGCAAGAGGAAGATTTAAGGGTCTGATTTATTGTACACGCTTAAAATCAGTGTTGGGAAGGTTACTTTGGAAATGTAATAGGTTACAGATTACAAGTTACCCTACTTAAAATGTAATAAGTAGTGTAACTTTTCAATTACTTTATTAAAGTAATGTAACTGATTACATTTGATTACTTTTCTACTTAAAAAAATAAAGCATATACATAAGCATGTTATAAACTTCTGAAACATTGGTGTTTCATATTTTAGAGTAGTCACTGCAACTCAATTAAATCTGTATGTGGGAGTGTGTGTGGAAAAAGTCATATGTAACCCCCTTTGTAATCCTTAACATTTTCATAAGTAACTGTAATTTAATTACAAATTTTTTCTTAGTAACTGTAACTGATTACAATTACTTTTATTTTGTAATTAAATTACGTAATTCCGTTACATGTAACTAGTTACTCCCCAACACTGCTTAAAATTAACCTTCCATGACGTACACTAAAAATGACGGAACATCTGGTTATTCGGTTTCGATTTGACAGCTGTAATGAGGATCAGGAATTTCACATCAGCTCTCCAGCTGCTGTTGTGTTTATCTGTATTTGTTGCTAGGGTGAGTCTCATATTTTCAGCCATGATCAAATCTTACATTTGTAATCAATCAATAGTACATTTAGTTTTCCATGATAAGTTTTGTCTTAGACTTCTACAGAGGGTATTCCATAAACAGACTGTTTCAAATAAATGCAGGGCTGAACAGACAGAGGACGTTATTATTAACACCCTACAAGATGAATCTGTTCTCTCATATATGATACATTGACGTCATAACTAGCCTCACCCAAAACCCCAGAAGCAGCCACTGTTATAAAAGTAAGCATTGCATTGGTCTAAACAATTACACTGAGAAAATGAGCATCAAATGCTCACCAATTACAAAATCTTTTTCAGTGAATTAAAGAGCTGGATTAAAGTGCACTTATCTATGTTTCCTTTCCAACCATACAAATCATCAGTGGCAAGCATTGATTCAAAGGTGAGTTCTGTACTGTTGTATACTTTTAATTTGTTCTAACACAATAAACATGATTAATTTGAACTCAATAAGGAACTAACAATGAACATCTGTTTTTCAAAGAGGGAAATGTGGACTGTTGGAGATATGTATATATTCACAGTGAATGTAAGCGAGTTTGCACCAGAAGAAGTTATTGTAACCTCCACCAATACTTCAATACAAGTCTGTGCAGAAAAGGTAAGCAAAATAAACTCTAATGGCAATTTTAACAGCACGTTTTCTCTCAAACACATTTTCTTTCAAAAATTAAGAGCATGTAATATTAGATTTATTTATTTGTGTTTTTGCACAATATCTTGCTCATTGTTGTATTCTAATTTCCATTTTTCTTCATTGATGAATCAGTTGGCATCAGATCGTGGACGCTGTTCGTCAGAAGTGTCAGTTCCCAGCTGATGTGGATCCAATGTCAGTCACATCTTCTCTAGAGAAAGGTGGTTTGTTGAGCATTAAAGCCCAAAAGCATACAGCAAAATGCTTGCCAATCATGGATTCATTCAAAAAAGTGAAAACCTAACGCTTGGATGTATTTTTAAGATGATATTTTTGCTCACCATTTCTTGACTCACAGATATTTGTCACTGACTGAAATGACTAATAAAATTATAGGCATTTAGAAAGTGAAAAATAGTAAGTGGTATTTAGAGTGTTTCCATAGCAGCATATTCCATCCATGAATGACCAATCCTTGTGAGATTGAACCAAAACAGACAACACACGTACAAGCTATACAATGATCTCTGAGTCTGTTCCTCTGAGAGCAGCCTGTGTGGAGATGGACACAGATTAAGCAGCCATACAGTCTTGGTGCCACAGGTTTTCTGCAAGGGCATTTAGTAAGGGTGCTACTTCACCAAGCCCCGCACTCACATCACCTCCCACTCGGAAGACCGGAAGACCCCAAACCTCTTGAAAATGTGTTACGTCACTCTCTGTCACATCTGTGTGCATAAATAAGTCAAATCTGCACTGTTAAGGGCCATGACAATGTCACATCAGTGTTACATCAGCGTAATTTTAGTATAATATTTTGAATAATTTTATTTTTTCCATTTTTGTCAGTTTTATTATTTTTTGTTTTTAAATATAGGCCTATCTATATAGTTTTCATTAATTTTATTTCCGTTTTAGTTATTTTAGAACATCAAATTAAACTAAGTAAAATAAGTTTAAGATTTTGATATTTTATTTCAGTTAATATTTATTTTATTTCAAGTAACACATAATAACACATGCATTTGAATGTAATTGTCAAATAAATGCTCTCAACTGGTAAAGGATACTTGGTGCCAACAACCAAGTTAACCACTCGATCCGAAGGTTCTGTGATCCGTGATATCTGATTTGAAAGATCATCAAAGGAGCCACGATCAGTGAAGGAGAAAAGGAAAAGGATGGCATCCACCTGTTCCTTACAGGACTAAAGAGAGAAAAAGGACACCATTAAATATCATACTTTAAAATGATGCAGTGAAACAGAATGTGGGTTAAAGGGACAGTTCACACAGAAATGAAAATTTACTCATCCTCAAGTTGTTCCAAACCTATATGAGTTTCTTTATTCTGTGAAAGAAAAGAAATGACGAAAGAAGATATTTTAAAGAATGATGGTAACCAAAGTGCTGCTAGTCCCCATTGACTTCAATAGTATTTTTGGTCCATACCATGGAAGTCAATGGGGACCAGCAACTGTTTGGTTACCAACTTTCTTCAAAATATCTTGTTTTATGTTCCACAGAAGAAAGGAATTCATACAGGTTTGGAACAACATAATGAGTAAATTATGTTTTTTGGGGGTGAACTATCCCTGGGAATTTAAGTAACTCTGTAATATGATGGAAATGCTCACCGGTAACATGTGGTCAAATCTTCTTATTGCACTTTCCCCACAATCCCAAAGCTCAAAGCGGAAAAACAATACACGGCCACTCTCCTTTAGTCTTACAGGCCAGAAGACCACTGTTGTCTCTATGCCTACAAGAATCACAGCTCTATGAAGCAATGACCGCTGATGGTTTTTTTATTATTATTGATTGTATTAAATTAATAGTGACATGAATGACGCGTATACTGACACCTATCGGTGTGGATGTAATGAAGCAAACTTCAAAGCTGTTTCTAATGCTATTGTACACATTCAAATAACGTATTAGTAAAATATTTGTCGTCATCTATTATTAATAACTATTATTCTACAACTAAATGTGTATTATAATAGTTTTATGTGACTGGCCAAGTTATCTCAAGGCCGCCATGAGAGGGCGACCCGCCCCATGTTGAATAGAATCGCTTATTTTTATTGGTCACTGACATGACTGAAGTCTTAATCTCTCAAATGTTTTTCAAACGTATTCATTAAAAGTACTATAAATGTGTTCAAGAGAAAATCTTTTTACAATAAAAAATTACTTAATTCATTTTAAATGTGTGACTTGTTTACCTGTGGTCTCATAGTGCATCTTAGGGAGATCGAGGCCAGCGAGACGGGCAGCAAGAGCGCTTTTCCCGACTCCGGTTTTCCCAGAGAGGAAGACCTTGTAGCGAACGATATCCACATTCATATGAGGAGGCATCATTGGCGCTTCCAAGAGCCCTTCACAGTAAGTTATATAAAAACCACTTAGTTATATAAAAATTCACTTAGCATTTTATATGTTGGCTGTAACAAATACTTATTTTTGCTGTTCTTTTATTAAACAAAACAAGAAATACCTGACCAGTAAGATAAGAAACATGATGCCCAACTGCTGTATCCATGGTGATAATCCTTACCAAACTTTCGCCGTTTCTTCTTATGCAGTATCCTGCTGAAAAACTCCCTGCTGTCTGGACAGCGATGCCAATCCGACACGATTATGGATCCAGGTGGGACAGGCATTTTAATTTAGCAAAATCAGATAAATTAAGACTAAGAGACTATTGTGCTTTTTATTACGTGATATGAAGTTACTTTATCTGCGCGAACGTGAAGCCAACTAGGTTAAACGTCATGACGAAATACGTCAAAATAAAAGTCCATTACGGAAGGACTAAAATTATGCAACTACAATGAAACTAGTAAATTAGATTTTTTTTTTAATGATGGGGGTCACTGAATCCACATTCTGAATAAAGACAAAGAAACAAAATCTACAGGCAGTCTATATTAGTACATCATGTTATCTTTATTGAGAGGCCACAGCTCTTGCATATTACAACTGTTGGCTTTGATAAGGCAAACGCAAGAATGAATCCACCAGCTAATTGACACAGAAAAAAAAAAAAAAAAGCTTTTGGAGAAGGTGGATCCCACAGGCATGCAGCAATGGCTCAGAATGCAATGTACAGCATGATATATACAAAAACAATAGCGAGACCCCAAAAATGGCACATAGCAGTTTCAACAAATCTACTAACATAAAGAGAATGACTTTAATTGGACATACAAACTTAAAAAAGAGAGAGAGAGATCCTCTGTAAAAGTGAAACTGAACCAAAAATATAGCCGTTTTTTTGTTGTCATTTCTGACATCTAATTAAAAGACGTCTCCAATGAGATATCAAAATGGAGGTATGGCAATATTGCATTTCTAGAATACCAATTAATTTTCATTTTAAGATGCCTGTGAGACAATGCCTAGTTGGATATTTGCGACATAGGGCCACAGAGCCACGACACAAATAAGGAAAAAAGTACAATGGAAATGTGCAGACACAGAAGACATTTACAGTTAACAGTTTTGAACTTAAATACAGAGGTTCATTTTTAGTTTTGAAGCAGTTGGCATCCACTTTAAAAACAGACAAGACAAAGAAAAGGGTCCATACACTCATCTTCACAACAATGTACCATTAATGTATGTAAGAGTACGTCAAAGAAGCGCCATATATGTTATCGCATTGGACAGGGACACACCTAATAATCTCACTCGACATTATCAAACAAATGGTACTCCATATTGCTTAGGAACACATAGAAACAAATTCCTCAAATAAACGAGTTGAAAAATTGGTGCTAGTTTGTTGTTCTTTATTATGTTATGACACAGCTTAAATTGCCAATTATGGTCTTTGCAACGTTCTTTTTACTCTTTAGTACAATTCTTTGATTTTTATTGTTTTTTAGCTTCATTTGTGGGCAATTCGAGCTGATGGGGGGGGGATCCTAGAGTGGCTAACTGGGTAATCAGTGTTGATACATGCATCTTACGTTATCAGGCTAAGTTTAAAGTGTTGGGGTAGGGTAGGGTTGGATAGATGGGTCGGGTTCAGGGTGGTGGGTGGCACCGGATGGCTCGATGCTCTAATCGTCCTCCTCGTCTTCCTCATCGCTGTCCTTCATCGAGATGCCCTGCATGCCCCCCTCTCTGACAGAGGCAGTGGCTTCCTCCAGGGTCAGCCGGTTCCGTACCGTATCGTACGCCTTGCTGTTCAGTGTAGAGTCAAGAACGCCTTGCAGCCTAAAATCTCGGTATTTCTTCTACAGGAATGGGAGATATCAGCAGGCATTATACACACTATCAGACTTATTTGCCCCTGAATGTTAAAGCTAAATATCTGTATGTCAAACAAGGCCAGAAAGAATAGCAAGACTATGGATGCAAGCTATTACAATTCTGGACAGTATACTGATAAATAGCTGATATACTATTTTGTCCCAATTAATTACAGTGGCAGCCAAAAGTTTGTAATAATTAAGATTTTTAATGTCTCTTATGCTCACCAAGGCTGCATTTATTTGATTATGTAAAAACAGTAATATTGTGAAATTTCAAATAACTGTATTCTATTTGAATAGATTTTAAAATGTAATTCTTGTGATGGCAAAGCTGAATTTTCAGCAGCCATTAGTCTAGTTTTTTGTAACATAAATGTCTTTCTTTTCTTAACATTATTAATTTCTTTTCTTTTTTTTTTTAAATAATACATAAACCAAACTTTTAAATGTTAGCCATAGTTTCCATAAAAATATTAAGCAGCAAAACTGTTTTCAACATTGATAAAAATAAGAAATGTTTCTTGAGCACCAAATCAGCATATTATTGGCTGCTTTGCTATCACTAGAATAAATTACATTTCAAAATATGTTTAAATAGAAAACAGTTATTTTAAAGGGGTCATATGATGCGATTGAAATTTTTCCTTTCTCTTTGAAGTGTTACAAGGTCTTGGTGCATAAAGAAGATCTGTAAAGTTGCAAAGACTAAAGTCTCAAATCCAAAGAGATATTCTTTATAAAAGTTAAGAGTCAACCACGCCTACCTAAAATGGCTCGTTCTAACACGCCCCCAC